TAATAATAATAATAATAATAATAATAATAAGAAGAAGAAGAAGAAGAAGAAGAAGAAGAAGAAGAAGAAGAAGAAGAAGAAGAAGAAGAAGAAGAAGAAGAAGAAGAAGAAGAAGAAGAAGAAGAAGAAGAAGAAGAAGAAGAAGAAGAAGAAGAAGAAGAAGAAGAAGAAGAAGTTGGAAGGGACCTTGGAGGTCATCGAGTCCAACCCCCTGCTCAGGTAGGAACCCTATACCATTTCGGACAAATGGCTGTCCAGTCTCTTCTTAAAAACTTCCAGTGTTGGAGCATTCACCACTTCTGGAGGCAGGTTGTTCCACTGGTTAATTGTTCTAACTGTCAGGAAGTTTCTCCTTAGTTCTAGGTTGCTTCTCTCCTTGATCACAGCACTGTCTGATCCTAAGACTCAAGCCTACTTCATTTGTGTGAAAACCTACCTGTGTGCTTTGTCATGTGGTACTTCAGCTGATTCACCCACTTGCACTTGTAGCCACATTCCGGGCAAAGATACTTTCGCTCCTCTTTATGGATACGCATATGATACTAAGAAACGAAAGGAAAGTCAGGCGTGCATGAGACACTAAGCTGTTACCTATTTACACCAAGTATTATAAACATGACTGAAATCTTAGGGGTTGAATGGGCTAGGCAGAACTCAACAGATTTCTGGATATAACTGGTTGGTGGACTTTAGAGTATAAAAATGGAATAATGGAACACATTTGAGTTAGTATTGAACAGTAAACTTCAAAAATGATTTGGAACAGGTGCTTTAGACTTTGCAGAAGGAGAACATTTATCGGCTGTTCCTTCATGCTTCTTCTCTTAGACTTAGTGGGCTCTTTAGAGTAATTGCTCCTTTCTTTTTCAAGGCTTATATAGAAGCATGAATAAAATCATACTGCTTTAATAAATACTAAACAAATACTATGCTCATGCAAGAGCCAAAACACTGCTAAATCATTTTCCAAGGTGGCACAGCCCTATTAAAAGTGTGCCATACCACTAGGGCAGGGGTAGGCAACCTTGACTCTTTTATGACTTGTGGACTTCAACTCCCAGAATTCCTGAGTCAGCATGGTTGGTTCAGGAATTCTGGGTATTGAAGTCCACAAGTCATAAAAGAGCCAAGGTAGCCTACCCCTGAACTAGGGATTTCTTTTTGGCTCCAAAATTGAGCTGGTTTTTTTTTAAAAAAGTCCATTCTTGATTAGTTCAATCTGTTTTCAGAGTGTAAATTAAGTGAAAATTTTAAATTTTAGTTTTAAGTTTTACATTTCATAAAACCTTTAAATTAAACTTTTTAGAGTGAGAAACGTTTGCTCATTTCCTAGTTATAGGGCCTCCAAAATGGTCTGTTGCTATAAAAGGTCTGCACTTCATTTTGAATTCAACTACTTTCCCATATCAAGAAATTCATTAATCCCCAAAGACAGTATCAAATTGACTGATGTGGAAAATAAAGACAGAGATCCTTCCATCGGAAAAACAAATCTGTTCATCAAGTATTACATCATAAAGATGGGCCCAAGTTTGTATTTGTCTGAGAGAAAGAGATACCATCCAAAGTGCTCCTCACCCAGGGTTTTCATAAAATGTCGATCTGCTCTGCACAAGACAAAGAGATGAAAATACAGATCTCTGCAGATTATAGAAGCAGGAGTGAATTCTTTATTCGTATACATTGTAAGACAAGACACCAGGGGGAGAAAAGTCATTTAAGTAATTTAACGAGAAGCCATTCCTTAAAGTGGGTTATGGACCAGACTACCAGATCCAAGTATTCTCTTCTGCTCCAAGGCCTGAAAAATCTGATCCCTAAGAGACTATTCAACTGATAAAGAGTCTCAACTTTGCCATGGCAACACAGTTCCCATTTCCTGGAAAATGGTTTTGTACATCTTCCACAACAACCTTCCACTATCAACTCACCAAAGCTGCCCAACGTTCTCACCTTGAGGCGTGAAGGGTCGGCACAGGCATACTGGCACTGGTGGCATTTGTAAGGTTTCTCCCCAGTATGGATGCGGATATGCCAGGTGATCTTTTGCTTGTTCTTGGTGGTGTATTCACAGTCAGCGCATTTATAGACGCGGGTGCCACCGTGGCCTTTCATGTGATGGTCATAGACCAGCTGATGATGACAACCAAAGTCACAGAACGTGCATTTGAATGGAGGTTCAGCGCCTACCGAGGGCTCATGGGCCTCCAAATAGTGGCTCACTAACTGCTGCCGTTCCTTGGCTGCAAAACTGCAGATGTCACAGCGGTGACTGAAGTGGAGTTTCTTGTGCTCTTCCAACTCTTCCCGAGTAGTTAGAGTCTCCTTACAGGTAGCACATTCCAGATGTGGGTGCTGCTTCTGGATATGGCACTTGAGGGTGGCCTCACTGTGGCAGACAAAGGCACATCGAGGACAGCCATAGGAGATCTTTTCTTCATGCTGTCGCAGGGTGTGTTGCTTCAGGGCTGTTTCGGAACTGAAGCGAGCGTCACAGCGGGAGCAAGCAAAATTCAGCTCCCCTCGATGGCAGCTGCTGACATGGCGAGTGATGTCATTCTGGATATAGCCACTGTAGTCACAGAATGGGCAGAAGTGGGTGGGCTTCTTCTCGTGGACACGTAAGTGGTGAATGCGCAGTTTGGAATTGGTGCCAAAAGTCTGGCCACAAGCAGTACAGGCGATGCGGCCCACGCCGGTGTGCAAGGACTGGTGGGCATCCAAGCGGTAACGCCGGGTGGTGCTGAAATCACAGTAAGGGCACTTGTGAGGCTTCACACCTTCATGCTTGATGCGGACGTGCTGGCGGAGGCAGCGCACCTGCTTGCAGGTGAAGTCAC